CGAACTTTTGGCCTGCCAGCTCGTCCTTCCTCGCTCATCATCACGTGCCACGCGTTCGGCCACCGTGGCAACAACGTGTTCATTCGACTCTCCCTCGACGCCATCCCTTCGCCTTGTAGCGAGATTCACCCTTTTCCGCGCCCGTGGAATTCCGTGCGCGTAAAAAATCAAAAGTCGAAGCGTGTAGGCTGCACGGACGCGGTTGAGCGTAACTTTCTTCTTCTTCTCGGACCATTTGGAGCGTCGCGCGAAATAGATTTTGCAGGCCGCTAGGAAAAGTGCGAGAATACGGTGTAAGGTCTCAAGGCGGGAGTATGTGGTTTGATTGAAGTGGCTGGAGCATCTGTCTCTCCAAAGGATAGTCGCTGCAGCGCCGATAAGGAGGCACCATGGCGCAATGAGGCTAGACTGGTGGTGGAGCGGGAAGAAGACCGCCGCGGGCTCAACAGGAGATTGTAAGTGACGAAGCGCTGAACGTTGAATAGCTTCGCCTACCGCAGGAGCGTGCCCACAGTCAAAGAACATGTGGGGGAGGTCTTCGATCGACGGAGGGCCGCATCGAGGGCAAATCCCTCCGGTCGTTGTGAAGAGGAACCTTGATCCAGACGGGAGCGTGAGCGTGAAGAGACGATATAGGATATCTCGTTGGCGAGAAGGTTGATCTTTGAGGAATGAGTGTTGAAAATCCGGAAGGAAGGGAATAGGATCCCGGGTGATGATGTTCCAGCGTTCCAGTTGATTGAGAGGAAGGGGCCGATAAAGGAGATTCCTGATTTCTGATAGCGAAGGTGAGCCGTTGAACAGTTGATGACGAAACCCAAGTGCAGGGCCAGAATCGAAAGGCCCAGCCAGCCACCTTCCTTTGACGTGGACAGGGATGACGTGCTTGAAGGAGACCGTGCAGCTGCCACAGCTGTCAGCTTCCACCTGCCTCCCTTGAGTGACCCTGAAGATGCTGACCCGGGCTGTGAAGTCGGTAAGGATGATGGTGACTCGATATATCCTCGTCGGCATCTGAGTGTCGTTGGTTTTGAGCACCCAATCGTCGACCGCCAGGTATGTCTTGGTTGGGGAGAACCGTCGGAGAGCCGCCCACCAGTTGAGCGGAATCGAGTCGTAGATGTTGGTGATGAGCGTCCTGCTGCCAGGAAAGATTGAGGGGGGATATTTTTCGAAGATTTCCTCTTCTTCAAGTCTCCGCGCACCCAGTCGGGAAGAGACCAGGAGATGTCCGAGTCGAACTTGGTTGGTGAGAAGGAAGGTCTCATTCTTCAGACGTCCGAATGGGACATCGGGCGCTTTATAGATGAATCTGTTAAACGCCACGGGCTCCGCCATAAGACACCAAGGATCCATCCGGGGCGGCTTCACAACAGAGGGAAGGGGAAGAACGGCGTCCAGTTCAGCCCTGAACCTGTCCGGGACCTGAGGGGGCAAAAATTTGAGAATGGAGGGATGGGCGAGGTAACAGTGTAAACCGTAAGGGACTGGCACACAGGAGTGCGCAACGTCCTCATAGGGAGTGGCTTGGAGCCTGCGGACAGCACGTTGAATGGTAAGAGCACGGATGTGAGCCGAGGGTTTCAAGGCGCCGACACCGCCATGTTTCTTTTTGTTGTAAAGAAGGCGTTCGGGAATGAGCCTAGTTGCAAGCCCGTTTTGCTTGTACTTGGAATTGGAGAGAAAAATGCCGATCACACGGTCTAGTGTGGTGGTGATCAATTTGGGGGGAGGTTGAAATCGGGCGCCAAAGGCATAGAGGGAGGCGAGGCGTTCCGTGGATAGCAGTGAACGACAGGTGGTAGTGGCTTTAAAGTTTGCCAGCGGTTGAGTGACACCGCGGATGCGAGTGATAATGTTGTTCCACGTGGTAGAGCCGGGGTGGCTCTGCTCGACGTAGATTCCCAAGATTCTTTCCGCATCGTCGGCGCCGCGAATGGGGATCTGACCGGCCTGAGTGATCTGTGAGTTGGGGAAGTGAATGGGGAGGAGAGAACACTTCTCCCAGTTGGGGTATTCCCCTGACATGGCTGCGAAGGTTTGTAACGCACGGGTAGTGGTCCGGAGCTCCGAATCTGAATTCAAGAACAATGAAACATCGTCGGCGTAGCAGGCCGTTAATCTTCGCTGGGACTGATTGAAGGCATATCCAGGGAGAAAGGCTAGAAGGTATCTCTGCATGACCTCAATAACACAGACAAATAAGAGGGGGGCTAAGGGACACCCCTGGCGGACACCCGTACGTACTGGGAGAGGTGAGCCAGCTAAATTGTTGACAGACACTCTGGTAGAGGTGTCAGTGTGTAACATGGTTACCCACCGAATAAAGGCAGAGGGAATGCCCAGATGGTGAAGGCAAGACACCGGGGCCTGATGGACTGCCAGGCGATTGAAATTTGTCTTGCTGAGTCGCCCAAAATGACGCACCGTCGCATCATTTTGGGCGACTCAGCAAGACAAATTTCAAGGAGTTACAGCAAAGTCCCTGGCAAGGACTTCACAACTTCAACCCGGCAAGATTGCAGCTCTCCTCGTTTCTACACTTCTAACAGTGGAGGGGAGTGTTGAGAATATGTTTGTATGCTTTTATTATAAGTGCACTGTTCGAAGTGTGTTTACAGGGGCTCGCCATAGCGAAGGATTTGAACCTGGTGACGAGTCAATGGGCCGCAACCGAACACAGCCGTTGCGACCCGCGTGGCAGCTCAAGAGTCGAATCGACAGCAGGAGGCATCGTCTACAGTACGCGAAACTGACCTGTGAGGCGCGGCAGGATACCGCGCCCTTGCCGAAGCTGAAAAGTCTCGCCAGCGCGACTGTAACAAGGCAACCCAAGCGACGCAGCGCAACTGTTATACAGTTGCGCCTTGGTAACTGTTATGCGTTTGCTATATAACAGAATGTAATGCCTTGCTCATATTACACAATTCTCAAGCTTGTGTCCGGCCTACCCTCGGCCGCTGCTTTGGCACCACGTTACAAGCCAGGAGAGCTACCTCTGAGTGACCAATAGCCCCGCCGTAGGGACGTCGTTAATTCCTAGAGCTTCCGCTGCGCTCTAGCGACTTCTTATTCCCAACAGATTCATTGCACCTGTAATAGTACTGAGGATTCACAGAGGATGAAAGATACTTGAAGCTTGCATATACATTTGCAAACAGGTTGGGAGGCATGCAAATACTGTAGGTCTTAGCCAGTGTGTTCTTGAATTATAATATTTAGTTAAAACTGGTATAGAAAAAATTATTTTCATGTCAATGTTTTCTTCCTGTTTCGAAATTCCTCAATCTTAACCCCATGTCACCCTTTACTAAGGTACGATATGTTAGTACAGATTTTTCATATTAACGAATAGCAGGGCTAGTTCTTGGAGATGGTTATTTGTGTATCACCGAACTTTTGGCCTGCCAGCTCGTCCTTCCTCGCTCATCATCACGTGCCACGCGTTCGGCCACCGTGGCAACAACGTGTTCATTCGACTCTCCCTCGACGCCATCCCTTCGCCTTGTAGCGAGATTCACCCTTTTCCGCGCCGCCATCATGCACCTCTCTGCCCTGCCACAGCCTCCATCGTACATGTGATGTCAGAGAATCTGCTATACCAAAGCACCAGATTGAAGCGTTATGTATCTATTTCTACCGAATAATACCGTACAAAGAGGATGCTCACACCCACTCTTTCCTTGCCTCCCATTCCCTCGCACAGACTACCGTTGGGATGAGGAGACTGGGAATCTCGAGCGAATCGCCACCGCACTACAGCTCTCTTAGTCGCTTCCAACCATGTTGCAAACTTGGGATCGACAGCACCTAAACCGAGTCTTCTTCACCCCTACCTCCCACCCACCAACACGTAGTTTTTTTCTAACAGTACTGTGCATCTAACACGGCCGTTGATTTTGGGCTGGTTCATACCTTGAAGCTGTCGATCGGGAACGTTTCACCCTCCTCCAGTCGACGCACACTGGCTAGTGGCCACTCTGCGGCGCGGAGTGGTCGCTCTTTTTTCATCAACAATGGAGGTTTGCGTCTCGTTCGCCATTAGCTCTCGACCGTCGATCACATTGCCTCCGTAGGTTCGATCGTCGCTCGGTGACCCTCGCAGTCAGTAGCGAATGCCTCGCGCCAGGATCAGTGAGGACTTGAGGGTTCGCTTGAACCAGCATTGAGTGAAGCTGCGTTGCGAGAGTGAGAGCGCCCCGACGCATCTGATCTGATTTCAACCGTCAGCCCTGCGATTCGTGCTTGCGTCGCTACGCACGCGCTCGTACCTCCGAGAGGGAATTCAGTTTCCTAGAACAAACCATCTCGGTTACCATCGAAGCAGGAGATTGCTAAGAGGGCACCGAAGCGCGATGGTCCGAGCAGATCCGTTTCCCCTCGCGAATCCTCTCGTTTCGCACCTCGCAGCTCCACTTCTGCCCTCCGCGCACGTAATGACGTCCGCCACCACGCTTTCCGCCAGCATTTCCCGCCGACTCTCTGCGAGGGTTTCCTGCTCCGCCTCCCCCTTCCCCCTCTCCCCTTCCCCCGACTCCTTCGACCCTCGCCGCGGCAGCAGTCTCGGCGACGGCGCGGGGGAGAGAGGGACGAGGGGAAGACAGGGACAGTCGCGGCAACAGCGGCAGCAGCAACGGCAGCAGCAGCGGCAGCAGGAGCGGCAGCAGAGAAAGCAGGCGGAGTGGCAGGAAAGATCCGAGAAGGTGCGCGAGAGGACGGTTCCGCTGAGTCGGCGCCCGGATTACAGCGACGAGCTGCGCGCCCTGCAGCTCGAAGAGTCAGATCCGCCACGCGCCAGCCGCGCAGATCCTGCAGGCGCGCGGAACCCCCCCGCGTCGGAAGGTTGCGGAGAAGCAGATGGCGCGGGGAGGGGTGCTGGGGAGAGGAGCAGCGGGGATAGTGGTAGCAGAGGTATTGCGAGAGGAAGGGGCGAGAGTGCGGGAAACGAGCGGGGCGGCTACCGCGGGAGCGCAGATGAGCTCCCCTCGTTGTCCTCCGTTATGGCGGCCGCCGCCAATATGCCCGCGCAGCGCCCGCGCCAGCGCCAGCGCGCGCCCCGCCCCTCCCCGGTACAGGCGGAGGTGTGGGCGCAGCAGCGCGCGTTGGAGCGCGTGGCGGAGGAGGTGGAGGCGGAGATTGCGCGCGCGCTGGCGGACCGGCGCACGGACGACGCGGTGAGGCTGCTGTGGCGGGAGCGGCAGGCGGGGCGGTGGGCGGGCAGCCGCTGCTGGAGCCGCGCGGTGGCGCAACTGAGCCTCCGCGGGCAGTGGCGCAAGGCGAAGCGGCTGATCGACGAGGTGTCCCGCGCGCAGTTAGGGGGACAGGCGGGCGGAGAGGCGCAGGCGGAGCGCAGGGGTGCGTGGGAGCAGCAGTGGCTGGCGGGGAGTGCGGTGGGGAGTGGTGCTGGAGAGAGTGGAGAGGTGTTCAGAGAGGTGCAGGTGGATGAAGACGCGTTCGGGCTCGCTGTGATGGCAGCGGCGCGCAGTGGCTGTGCGGCTGACGCAGGTGAGCAATGGCCTGTTGCTCTCCCTCTTCCGCTTCCGCTACCCTTTCCTCCCGTCACCAGAACTCCTACCTCGCATGGTGTCAGAGCATCGTGGTGCTTTCAGGCACAGCCACACCACCCTCTCCCCTCTCGCGTCTCTTCCATGACCCCGCCTCTTCCCCCCCAACTCTCCCCTCCTGTCCCCTTCCCACTTCCCCTCTCCGTCCTTCCGCCCATCAGCGGAGCTCCTGGCGCAGATGCTGCGCGAGGGGCACCTGCCGCGCGTGGCGGTGTGGAGCGCCGTGGTGAGCCGCATGGGCCGCGACCCCGCGCTCGCTGCCGCCGCCGTGAGGCTCTTCAGGGACTGCTGCGATGTCGCTGCTGCCAAGGTGCGTTGATCTCTGAGTCAGCTCAAAATAGAGCCGCATGAGCTGACACCCCACGCTCGCTGCTGCTGCCGTGACGCTTTTCAAAGACTGCTGCGACGTCGCTGCTGTCAAGGCGTGTGGGATGCTGGGATCCTTGAGGCTTTTCATTGATCTGCTGTGGCGCTGCTTGCTGCCAAGGTGCCTTCACCATTAAGCACACCCCCCATTGCTTTCCTCCCCAAAGCGTCCCCACATGGCGCCCCACACAGCAGCCTTCAACCCCTTATTCCGGCCCCCATCTCCCCTATGCGCCCCCTATTCCCCCCTCAAACCCCCTTTTCCCACCCTCTCCCCTCAGAGCGCCCCCCACATGCGCCCGGACACAGCAGCCTTCAACGCAGCCATCAACGCGGCGGTGACAGCTGGCGACCTCCCATTGGCGGAGCGGCTGCTGGGGGAGGGCATGGCAGGAGCTGGCGTGACCCCCGACGCCATCAGCTTCAACATTCTGATCAAGGGGCGCGCAGCACAGGGCATGCCTGACCGCGCACATGAGCTGCTGAGACACATGCTGGTGAGTGGCGTGGCATGGCATGGGAAGCGCATCTGTGGGCGTGACAGGGAAAGGCATGGCCGCATGGGCAGGGGTGGGCGTGACAGGGAAAGGCATGGCCGCATGGGCAGGGGTGGGCGTGACAGGGAAAGGCATGGGCAGGGAAAGGCATGGGCGGGGAAAGGCATGGGCGGGGAAAGGCATGGGCGGGGAAAGGCATGGGCAGGGAAAGGCATGGGCGGGGAAAGGCATGGGCGGGGAAAGGCATGGGCGTGACGCGTGACAACCTCATGAGCTTCAACAATTTCATCAATGGGCGCGCAATGCAGGGCATGCCTTAACTCCTCCTTTCTATCTCCCCCCCTTCCCCCTTCCCTTCCCCCCTCCCACACCCATCCGACTCAAACACCATCTTCCCGGGTGACAAGGCGAGCAGGCAGGCCGTTCACCCCAGTGGTGGCAGGGTGTGTGGCGTGCAGTGCAGCATCATGGGGCTCATGGGGCTCACTACCGTGTACAGCACAGCACCTCACCTCACACCCTGTCTCACTCCTCCCATCCCCATCCACCACCCTACAGTCGCAGGGCGTGCAGCCAGATGCAGCGTTGTTCAACTCGGTGGTGGCGGGCTATGTGGCGTGCAGCATGATTGGACAGTTGGGCCTCACTACCGCATAGCGCCGCCTCATACCCTGTCTGACTCCTCTCTCTTCCTCTCCCCCTCTCCCTCACTCCGCAGGCGCACGGCGTGCAGCCAGACGCAGCGTCGTTCAACTTGGTGGTGGCGGGCTATGTGGCGTGCAGCATGATTGGACAGTTGGGCCTCACTACCGCATAGCGCCGCCTCATACCCTGTCTGACTCCTCTCTCTTCCTCTCCCCCTCTCCCTCACTCCGCAGGCGCACGGCGTGCAGCCAGACGCAGCGTCGTTCAACTCGGTGGTGGCGGGGTACGTGGCGTGCGGCATGATGGGGGAGGCACAGGCGCTCGTGCAGACCATGTGGCACCTGGGGGAGGCGCAGGGGGAGGGGCGGGGGGAGGGGGGCAAAGAAGGGGAAGTGGAAGGGGAAGGGGAGGAGAAGGGAGTGGTGCAGGGAGAGGAGGGTGGGAAGCGGAGGGTGGGGGTGGGTCCCAACGTGCGAATGCTCTCCATCCTCATCAAGGGGCTCGTTGCATCTGGGGACTTGACTGCAGCTTTTGAGGTGCGCCCTCTTCCTCCCCACAAATCCATACCATACTGCCCTCTCCCACTCGCTGAGTCTTGTGTGTGACGTATCGTCTGTGATGGATTGTTTGCTTGTGCTATATCGTATAAATCATTTGTGTATAATAGACTATGTTCACTCGACTGTTGTATTCTGTTCGCATGGGCCAACCAGGATCACATCATTCTTGCCAGATCCGGTTTCCTTGACTTCCTAGTCCTCCCCCCCACTTCCACCTATCCCTCACCTCCCACAACATGAATGGGCAGTGGTTTGAGCGCATGAAGCAGCGGGCGGACACGGCGCCCAACCACATCACGTACGCCACACTCATGCACGCCCTCGTCTCCTCGCCGCCCCACCTCATCCCTGCACCCATCCTCGCCCGCGCTGCCGCTGCCTCTGCTGCCTCTACTGCCGCCACCCCTGCCACTGGAGCCACTCCAGTTAGCTCTGCAACGCAGCAAGCTGCTCTCACAGCCAGCAGCAGCACGCCCCCAGCACTGCCTCCCCTTGCACCCGCCACTTCACCCGCTGCGGCAGCCGCGGTGGATTCGCGGGGAGCAGAATCATCTCTGCGGAGGCCAAGCATTTTGAAGACTGCACGGCCCAGTGCGGACAGTAGTGGTGGTCGTAACGCCGCTGAGAGTCTTAACTCTGCCGAGGGTGAGGCAGGTGCATGCAGGGGGGAGGCGCTAGAGCAGCAGGGGCTGGGGAATGGCCGTGCGGGCGTGCTGGATGCTAGCCGCAGCAGGAGTGAGTCTGACCGCCCAGGGGGAATTGTTGAGAGGCCGAACGGATACAGCAGCAGCATCACTAGCAGCGGCGGCGGCAGGGACAACATGCTGGCCCGGACAGGCTTCAGCAATCTGGCGATGAGGGAAATCAGCGAGGACCTAGCAGGTGCAGGCACCCTGGATGAGCTTGCGGTGGTGGCAGCGCGGCAGCTGCTGCAGGAGATGCGCGCGCGGGGCGTGGCGGGCAACACAGCCGTGCTGAACGTGCTGGTTAAAGCCCACTGCGACCGCGGGCAGATGGGCGAGGTGGAGGCGCTGCTGAGGGAGATGGGGTGTGGTGCGGGTGCTGGGAAGCAACGGCGGGTGCAAGGCACTGGGGAGGCTGCTGGAGGCTCTCAGGGTGCTTCTGATGGGCCTCAAAGGCCACCCGCTGCTCGCGAGGCTGCTACTGATGGTGCTTCTGAGGCTGAGATTCCGCAAGGAGCGGCTGTGTGGGGCGTGCGGCCGAATGCTGCAACGTTTGCGACCATCATTGCAGCGTGTGGCAGGGCGGGCACGTGGAAGGGAGGTCAGGGGAGGTGGAGTGCTAAGGGTGGTGCTGTCCGTGGCGCTGCTGCTGCTGCTGCTGCCGGGGCTGGTGTGTTGCCTCAGGCTGCTGCTGGCCCCTATGCTGCCGGCGCAATTACAGGCCCGACAAGAAATGATAGCCCTAGTAATAGCAATGGTGCAAGCAGCACTGGTGTGGGTGACAGCAGGAGCAGCCTCACCAGCGGAACCAGAACTTCCGATTCGGATAGGACAGCTGTGGACTCAGCACAGTACAGCAACAGGGCCAGCAGCAGCAGCAGCAGCAGGTGGCAGACACAGTGGGGCAGGGGGGAGAGCGAGTGGAGAGGGGCAGAGGCAGCAGTGCAGTGGTTTGCGCGCATGCGACGGGAAGGCATAGCACCGACAGTGCAGGTGTACACGGCTCTCATCTCTGCCCTCGGCCAGGCCCCTGATGCCGACCCTGCCCGCGCCCTCTCCGTGTTTGAAGACATGCTTGTGGAGGCTGGAAGTGGTGGAGTGCGGTTGGGAGGGAGAGAGAGCGGTGGTGGGAGTCGGGGAGGGAGAGGCGGCTCGGTGGTGAGCGGTGGAGAGGAGTTGCGGGTGGATGCGGCGGCGTGGGGTGCGGTGATTGACTCACAGGCGAGGGCAGGGCTGGTGGACCAGGCGTGGAGCCTGTACCAGCGAGCCAAGGTGGGCAAACCTACTCTCTGTATCAGCTTGGAACATTCTTTTAGCGTTACAAGCCTAACCGTACGAGGGGGTCCAGGGTGGGCATACCTACGCCTCCCTCACTGACGTGCTTCGCCTTTCTCTTGCACGCATCCCTGCTGTTGCCCCTGCAGTCACCTCCCTTCCGTGTCACCTTCATTCTCCGCTCACCGCCTCGCTCTCACCTTGCTCTCACCTCGCTCTCACCTTGCTCTCACCTCGCTCTCACCTCGCTCTCACCTCGCTCTCACTGATGATGAATCTCCATTCTCCCACCACACTCCTCGCATGCGAGGGACCAACAACTGCTCGTGCTCTCTTCTTGCTGCATTCCAAGGCCCACTCACGCCACCGCTCATGATGCTCCCTCCTCCTCTTGCTGCTGCCTCGCTTCTGGCCGCACCACTTGGTGGTCCCTCTGCTGCCACTGGCAGATGCAGAGGCACGCATCGGTACACGATTTTACAACTCATGCACAGTCATGGCTTTGAGGCACCTCAAGAGGCGCGCTTGACTGATAGCTCAAACGCATGACTCACAGATCAGACGCATGACTGACAGATCAAACGCATGACTCACAGATCAAACGCATGACTCACAGATCAGACGCATGACTCACAGATCAAACGCATGACTCACAGATCAAACGCATGACTCACAGATCAAACGCATGACTCACAGATCAAACGCATGACTCACAGATCAAACGCATGACTCACAGATCAAACGCATGACTCACAGATCAAACGCATGACTCGCGAATGGCCTTTGCCTTTTCGCTCTCTTCCGCAACTGCCTTTCTTCCACATGCAAGCCGCTTCAGTCGTCCCCGCGCCAGCCAATAACGACACTCAAATGCGCGCATTGGCAACTGCAGAGGGGGGAGGCACTGGTGTTGGTGACTTCAGTCGTCCCCTCACTTTCACATGTTTGAACCATTCTCTTTCACCTCCTTCCTCACTTTCACCTCTCCTCTCCCACCTGCAGGCGGCTTCAGTCTTCCCCACGCCAACCACCTATGGCAGCTTAGGCCGCGCACAGGCAACAGTGGAGAGGGCAGGGGAGGCGCTGGTGTTGTGGTGCGACTCAAAAGGATCGACTGGTGAAGCAACCTTCCCCTCTCTCTCCCACACCTCTCTCTTCCTTCCCGCCTGCAGGCAGCCTCGATTGCCCCTACCCCAGCCACATACGGCAGTCTGGTGCGAGCACTGGCAGCAGCAGAGAGGGCCGGGGAGGCGCTGGTGCTGTGGCGCGACTTGAAGGAGCGTCTGGTGGGGGCGGAGGGTAGTGTTGGGGAGGAAGGGTTGGGGGGAATTGCGGGCGGGGAAGAAAGGTGGGAACTGATGGGAGAGGCGAGGGAGGGGCGGTGGGAGGAGCGAGGTGAGGCGGGAGGGAGCGGGAGTGAGGGAGGGAGTGAGGAGGAGGGAGGGACGGAGGAGAGTGAGGGTGAGGAGGGGGGAGTGGTGGAGGTGGTAGGGGTACGCAGGGAGAGGGAGTGGGTGAGGAACAGGTGGGAGCAGAGAAGGGAGGGAGAGGGAGCGAGAGGGAGAGGGGTGGGTGTGGCAGAAGAAAGAGTGACGTGGAGGGCAGGAGTGGCAGGAGGAGAGGCGAAGGGGGCAGCAGGGGTGTGTGTGGACGAGGCAGTGATGGATGGGCTCATGCTCATCTTCATGCAGGCTGGATACTTCCAGGTGAGCTGCTCTCCCCATGCCTCCCTCTCGCTCTCTACCTCTCACTCTGCCTCTCCTTGTCACGTGCTGCAACACTGACGAGGCAGTGATGGATGGGCTCATGCTCATCTTCATGCAGGCCGGGTACTTCCAGGTGAGGATCTCTTCCCAGGCCTATCTCTCACACTCTAAACCTTTCTCCCTCTATACCCCTGCTTGTCACTCACCTCTCTCCGTCACTCACCTCTCTTGCACCCCTTGCTACTTGCGTCAACACTTCTGGGTGCATGCCTCTCATCATCTCCAGCGTCCTCCTCCCTTCCCTGGCAATTGCTCTCTTCTCTAAACCTCTCCTTCCCCTCTCCCCCCTCCCCCTCCCCTCTCCCTCCCCCTCCCCCTCCCCCTCCCCCTCCCCCCTCCTCCTCCCCCTCTCCCCACTCCTCCCCTCCCACCCCCTCTCCCTCTCACAGCGCGCACTGGAAGTCGTGGGGGCGATGGAGAGGGCAGGGCTGGCGCCGGACAGGCTCAAGTACAAGCGCATGCTCATCACCTCCCTCTCCTCGCGCCGCCACCGCGCCCTCTCCTCCCTCTCCACCACCACCGCTGTTCCTGATGACTTCCCGGGGTCCCGGGGCTTTGAGGCGCTCAAGTTCTGGCTGGGGCTGCCAAACCGCCTGTACGAGTCTGACTGGAGCTGGCGGGATTGAGAGCGGTGGGGGATGGTTGAAGCTTGGAAGATGTCTCAAGTCAAGCCTCAACACTGGCCTTGGTTCTGGTTCTGGCTGGGGCTGCCCAACCGGCTGTACGACTGGAGCGGGCAGGATTGAGAACGGTGCGGGATGGTTGAAACATAGAAGGGGATTCTATTAAGACTCACTCATGCAAGACTATCCTTCGTTCTGGCTGGAGCTGGGGCTACCCAACCGGCTGTATGGGCTGGCAGGACTGATGCGCTGTCAGCTATTTATGGTACGCTGAGTGATGGTGCTACAATATTGCCTAACGATGCCATCGTTCGATTCAGATAGTGCTATCCCGAGGTTTACTTCTGCCATCATGTGTGTTATGAAATAACAGTAGGGCTGGCGTTATTAATCACCTTACCTGTCATTGGGTGGTGCATCGCTTTGAGAGCATGTCATGCTTGAATAGAGAAAAGGTTCATATAGTGGTGATAGGAGATGAACGGGTGTTTCGCAAATATCAAGTGTCTCAGGACGTGGTGAAAGTGCTCGATCGGGGGTAGATCGATTCGGTCACCGCACTGAACCCTGCATTTTGGACAAGAAAGGTACACAACCTTTTATAACCGCGCTAAAAAACGATCCTTTGACGACCGATTCTCCACTTTCACCGCGTCCTCATGTTATCTGCTGCTTTCGCACTTGCGCACTTCGCGGGCCTGCCGCGTCAACCGCTTTCCCAATTTCCCAAGAAAGCGGTCAACGAACTTCAACATTGCGCAGGTTCTGTGGGGGCCTGTGGCCTGTCCAAACAGTACCGCGCAACAGTCGGTGTTAGAATACCTAGGCAAGAGTGATTGTATTAGGTCAAGGTGGGTACAAGACTAGAATGTCGAGGGAAATTGTGTACCCCCTAAAGCTAGCCCCAATACAGCCTAACTAAACAATAAACATACAGTTTGACACACCCCCATCGGCGAAATAGGGGATAGCGAGAGCAAGGACAATGGTCACAAGACCAATCAAGAGAAGAAACAAATCACAGCTCAGGGTGGATCACAAAGTCACCACACACTCTGAGCAAAAGCAAGAGGCCACAAGGCCAGTTCATAAAAGCACAAGCAATGCAGTGATCACAACCTAGCAGGTGTAGGAATACAGGTATATATATAGATCACAGTACAGGTAAAGCCTACAGTAAGTGAGGAAACATAGGCACAAGGCCCAACAAGGTACAAAAGCGCTGATGATCACCAGGCGGAAGTGCCTTGGTGAAAATATCAGCAGTGTTGGCCCGAGTGGCCACGTAAGCAAGACGAAGCTGACCACGCTGCAGCAACTCTCGAGCCAGGAAATAACGCATAGCGATATTCTTCGTTCTGTGCTCCAGTCTGTGCTCTTGACACAAGGCAATGGCGGCCTTGTTGTCGACGTACAGCACTAGAGGAGAACGAGACCGCTCTCCCAGGTCGGTCAGCAGGTAGGAGAGCCAGCGTAACTCCTGTGCAGCCATGGCTGTGGCGTAGATCTCAGCCTCACAATTGGAGCCGAGAACGGAAGACGAGCGTGTAGAACGCCAAGAAACAGAGCAAGAGCCAAGGCTGAAGGTGTAACCCTGTGACGACCACTGCGTAGCCTGGTCGTCAACCCAAGAAGCGTCCGAGTGACCAGTGAGGACAACGTCGTCCCGTCCTCCAAGCACAAGCCCCATGCCCGATGTACTGCACAAGTAGCGTAGTACCCTCTTAGCAGCATCCATGTGCACCTTTCGATGCCGACCAAGAGCCACATAGCGAGCCAGAAGGCCAAGAGGGTACGCAAGGTCAGGACGAGTGCAGGTCATCAGGTACATGAGGCAGCCCACTAGCTCTGGGTAAGGACCACTCGGCTCTACGGACTCGTCCGAAGGTGGAGCTGAGAGCGAGTGACCTGTAGCCAGAGGAGTGGCCTGTGCTGAGGACCAGGTGAAGCCGAAGCGCTGAAGGACCTGCTGCACCATGTGTGACTGAGTTAGTGTGATGGTGCGGCGTGCTCTGTCCCGGGTGATCTGCAAGCCAAGGTAGCTGCGCAACTCACACAGGTCTGTGCACGTGTGTCTCTTCTGCAGCTCCGACTTCACCAGGGCGAGAGCCTCAGTGTCAGCAGTAGCAAAGACCAAGTCGTCGACATACACAAGGATGTAGAACTGCGGCAGCGAAGTGTCGGTGCGCAGAAACAGCGACGGGTCAGCAGTCGACGGAGCAAACCCAAGAGCCGCAAGTGTCATCCTCTGTGTGTCGTGCCACTCACGCGGCGCCTGACGGAGACCGTAGACTGGCCGCCGGAGGCTCCACTAGGTACCAGGAGGGAACGACCCAGTGAAGCTAGGAGGGCGGCGCAGCCAGATCTCCTCGTGCAGGCTGCCGTGTAAGAAAGCTGTGCTGAAGTCAAGAGAGTGAAGCTCGTAGTCACGCTGAGCAGCAACGTGCAGCAGCACCCGACGAGTGGTCATCTTTGGGGTGGGGGAGAAGGTCTGGAAGAAGTCAACTCCCTCTCGCTCACTGAAACCTCGAGCAGCGTAACGAGCCTTGAAGACAGGCGGAGAACCTGGCGGCCGCTTCACCCTGAAAGTCCACATGCCACTGACGATGTTCGCCCCAGGAGGGGAAACCTCGTCGACGTAGGTGCCTGTGGACTTCCAGGATGCCTTCTCTGCATCCAAGGCTGTCTGCCACTGAGAGGAGTACTCACCCACGATCGTCTCAGCGCAAGAGCGCGGGGTCGGGATGTCTGGAGCATCCGGGTCTCCCTCAGGGGCAAGCACCATGGACACGAGATGAGGCGCAGCGGCTGCAAGACACTCAAGGTCCTCGTGCCTGTCCTCAAGGACGTCAGTGCCAAGAGCACTCACCCCCGACGGACGGAGGATAGACAGACTCAAACTCAGCAACAAGTCTAGTAGCGTAGTCCAGACGACAGGCAGCAGCAAAGTCAACAAGCTCAGCTTCTAGGGCAGACGCAACAGTGGACTCAAAAGACGGGTCAGTGACAACAGTGGCTAACAGACGTGTGACCGTAGGGTGCTCAATACGAAACTGGTCAGACTAAGGGTCGGCAGCGACAGGCAGAGAGGACTCAGGAGGGGACGGCAAAGGAACACAAGGCGAAGAAGAGGAAAGACGACGGACTAAAAGGTGGGTGCCTGGAACAGCCGGCTGACGCTGACGAGGAACATGACGACCAAAACGACCAGAACGGACAGGCGAGACACGATGCGACGCAGGCTCACGGCGCTCAGCATGACCCTCTGACTGCTCAGTGTAAGGAGGAGCAGGCAGGGGTGAGCCAGGCTGTAACGGAAGACCAGTAGACGATGGGAGGCTAAGAACCAGGGGAAGCACGGAGGCAGGCGGTGACAGAGACGATGGAGAAGGCGGAGCAAAGAACAGGCGTGGCTGCGCAGCGCCACCAGCACCAGCGGCTCCAGCTCCCTCAGCAGCTCCAGCACCCTCAGCAGCTCCAGCACCCCCAGCAGCTCCAGTACCTCCAGCAGCTCCAGCACCCTTAGCAGAAGCACCCCCAGAACCAGCACCTCAAGTCCCAGGGTCACCAGCTGCAGTACCCCCAGACCCAGGTGTTAGAATATATCTCCTCTTGTAACCTGCATACATGTCATGAATAGGCTAGAGATAAGCACCCAAATAGAGTTTGGGTGTACAAGTCGGGGTAACCCAGTTTGTAGGTTGGAACCCAACCTTGGTCCAATTATTGGACCCCAAAAGGTTGGGTTGGGTAGAATTATTGGCTCCCTCCAATAATGTTGGCCCAACCCCAACTTGGCCAACATTATTGGACCCCACCAATAATCACCCAACCCAACTTATTGGTTGGGGTCCAATAATGGCTCCCTAGACTAGTGCCCAACCCCCAACTATGTATACCCCTACCATTTTCAATCCAAACATTCAGTTCTACTCTAACCTTCATTTCCCACACCAGGGTCTCCACCAGGAGTACCCTCAGGCTCAGCAGCACCTCCCGCCCAAGCAGCTCCAGTACCTCCAGTACGAGCACCTCCGGGACCAGCACCACTCCCAGCTCCAGTGACGGCAGTAGAAGTACCTCCAGCAGCAGAGCCCCAAGCTCCAGAAGCGCGACCCTGACGGCGACCGTACCAGTCGTGCAGCTGCTATTAGGTGAGAGGCACACACGCACGAAGACGACTACTCCAAGGGGACCGCTGAGGAGCAGTCCCAGCACCCCCCGACTTAGCAACCCCAGACTCAGCACCCCCAGGCTCCTCACACGCAGGCTCAGCACCCCCAGGCTCAGCACCCCCAGGCTCCTCACGCTCAGACTCCGCACCCCCAGGCTCAGCACCCCCAGGCTCCTCACGCTCAGGCTCCGCACCCCCAGGCTCAGCACCCCCAGAGACAGCACCCCGAGCAGGACCACCCCCAACAGGACCTGAGTCACCAGTGACCTCAACAGGCGCAGGCAGGGAGGGTCAACCTAAGAAACACCTGAAGGAGCAGGACCTGGCGCGGGGAGGGGGTCTACCTGGGGAGGACCTGGAGCGAGAAAGAGCGGCGGGGGGGGGGCGAGGAGCAGTGCGGTAGGGAAAGAGACGGTAAAAGGGGACGAACTCGTCAAAGGTGACGTCCTGAGACGCAAAGACACAACGCGTGGCTGGGTCGTAGAACTGCCAGCCAGGCGCGTCAGGGACAAAGCCAAGAAAGACGCAGGGAATGGCGCGAGGGGAGAGCTTGTCCGCGGTGGTATCGCGGACAAAGGCACGAGCACCCCAGACCCGGAAACGCGACACATCGCCAACCTTTCCCGTCCAACGCAGTGTGGGCGAGGTCTCCGGCACGGAGACACGGGGCCAGAGGTTGAGCTGATGCGCGGCATACCGGACCGCAAACGGCCACAGAAAATGGGGGGCAGCCGCATGGATCATGGAGGTCCGAGCGGCCTCCATGATTAAGCCAATGCGGCGCTCAGCAACCCCATTCTTCTGCGGAGAGGCCGGAAGCGTGAACGTC